TCCGTAAATGCATAAAAATGCAAGAATTGTTTTGTTAGCTTTGCCTATTATTTTCGAATGAAATTAGTGTGCGTGGAATAAGAATGGCTTTGACGATTTAGCTGGCAAAAAACGCGAAAAATCGTCGATTCTTTCGTATTCGAAGCGCTTTGGAAATCGAAGCGGAATAGAATTTAATATTAGTAAATAATATGAAATAAATATTGAAATTTACTATTGAACACAAGACTGTGTTATTATTAAAACACTTGGCGTTTATCCACTTTATTCAGTTGATACGGGCACTTTTACACGTTTCGGGCGTATAGCCCCTCATCAGTCAACTGATAAGAAGAAACGTTTACATTAGATTATTACATTTTTTTTTTAAATTATATAACGATTCTAAAACATGTAACTTTTAAGACATACCATTTAAAAAAATTCATTGACACTCGTACAGCACAAGTTATTATTTACTGCTGTTAGGATAAGTTGATATCAATGATAACATAAACCTACATACATTAAATTAAAAAATAAAACACTGTATAATTATACACGCTTATACTGATAACGCACATAACTGTGTTATCATAAACATAAACATATCATAAGCACAAACACATAACGCCAAGTGTTTTAATAATAACACAGTCTTGTGTTCAATAGTAAATAAATACGAAAACACGGTTTCAAAAAACGAACGGATTAAATATTGAAAGTTATAACGAGATAGTTACGGCTAATAGATATATCTAAATAAATAGATAAATAGTTGTTATATGTTTTTATCGAAGCGAGAATTGGCATTTAGAGGGCGTATGGAATATATTGGATCTAATAACGGAGGTAATTATATCGAACTCGTTTATTTATTAAGTACGTCGGATAAATAATCTATTAAAAATACGTTTAAAGAAAGAATTAATTGATTGCCCCCGGAAATCGGCTTCTTATAGAAACACGGCTTCCCTATCATCGAATGTCACGGCACGCCACTGCTATTCGGTATTCGGCCTATTCGGCCTATTTTTCGCTGTTCGGCCGAATACCGAATACCTAAAAACGGGAGTAAGAAATAACAAAAACGCAATAAATTAATCATTTTCGTATTTAGATTTAATGTTATCGAGTTAGTGTTGTTTGTTTGTATTTATTTATAACTTGTAACGCGCAAAATAAAAAAGAACGTAATATTAGTCACTTGTATTCACAATTTATAATTACAAAGATCGGCACACGTACACGCCTATTCGTTGGAGAATCGTCGCACGTCCGAGGGTCCGATTCTGCCTATCCTTCTTTTTAAGCGCGCGTCTTCGCTCTTCCCTTTCTCTTTTCTCTATCGCTCTAGTCCACGTACGCCTACGCGTACGTCGTAATGCGCGCTCGCCACACTTTCGATTCGTCACTTTTCCTTCGTACATTTCCCATTTTACGATTTACGCGACTCGTAGCCCGGCGATAACGAGAAAAGAGACAGATAGGACGTCGGTATAAGTCGTAATTACGATGTCGCGGATTGGAGACAGCTCGGTAGCCCGAACGGCTCCGGGCTTTCGCCCGTGCACGCTAAGTGAGTTTCGTTACGAGCATTTAGGTTTCCGAAGTCTACGACGACAATCGTTTGGCATTGACGGCCGCGAATTTCGCGCCAATAAGCCGCCTCGACTCGTTCGATTATGTTATCGACTCAATTTTATATTTATTTTCACAGTTTTACTTCGCGGTTCTTCTCCGTTCTTTTTCCGTTATTTACGAGTGTAAGTCATTTCGTTGTCGTCCACATTTCATATCGCCATTTATCACACACTGCCGCCACGCTCGTGTCTGTCTACTACGACCGCCAAGAATTAACGCGATTGGCCAAGCGTAGCGACGGCGGGCCACGCTCCTGGCCGAATATTCGGTATTCGGTCCGAGGCCGAGTATACCGGGACATTCCAATTTTCAACGCGAGTGTTGAGTGTTGAAGTCAACAATTTGACGTCATCAACGACGTTCCAACTCGAGTACGAAGTGCTTAGTTCCCATAATTCCATTCTCNAATATCTGTAACAAATTATAAATTATTCATTATCTGTGCACGTATATTTAAATTTAAAACACTAATCGCACTATTAAAATTATCTATTGCGTATGATTTGGTTCAGAGGTACATAAAGATCAAGTATGAAGTTAAAATTCGTTCAAAAAAATAAATAATCGTAGTAATTTATTAAGTAAAAGTAAACCATTTTAAAATTATTCCTATAAATTTAAGGAAACATGCGAGCTAAACTTTATACTGTATTTTCACTTTATACTCACTCAATATTACAACTAAAAAAATAATCTATTTCTGCGTGACTTCGTTCTGACAACCACAAAATATAATCGACCAGCATTTCCTATTTCGGTGGGTTGACGTCATTCAGCCGACCAATCAGCGCGTTGTGCCATCTGGATATTTAGTCGCACGTGCCAATCCTGCCTCATTACTGTTGGGTATGGAGGCAACTTCGGCAATTGTTATCTTTTTATAAACTTATTATTATTATTATGATTATTTTTATTTCCAAACTGATTTTAACTAGTTCTATGGTAATGTTATATTCTAGTAGACAATAAATAACGCTTTTCTTTCAGTTTACGGCAGTATTTGTTACAAAAAATTTAACTTATTATCATCGTGCTGAAGTTGCCCCGTCCTCCCTATAAGTTAAATACAGTACTTAATTAATCGAAATTTATATTTGTCGATTTTTTCTGTGGTTAAAATTACCATGCAATTTACATTTCGTATTTATTATTTGTGCCTAAAAGCTAAGAAAATATTTGCATTCGTTAATTCTGAAGAAAACAACCATAAAAGAGGGCTTTTGGGCAAAAAGGAAAGCATAAGCAACAATGTTAAATTTTGTCCCAAACCTCAATACCTTAAGAATACTGCCGATCCTACCAATAACTGTAGCTAGTGGGGGAAAGGAGTTTCTCGAAATAAAAATTAATTAAAAACTTTTTATGTTCCACTACCATGCAAAATCATCTTAATAGTTTGGCCATTTTGACGATTGCGCATGAAACTGCCATCAAGTAAACTTAAAAGAGTTAATAAAAAAGTTTGCAGAACTAAAAGTGAGAAAAAGTTTCTTTTGATTTTAGTATAGTTGATGTACTTTTGTTTAGCTTTTATAGGATATAAGTTTTTTGTTTGATTGTACAATAATACATTTCTGTAATATCATTAAAAATGCATCTAGTTAACAATTTGTAACTAGGTACAGATATATTTTAATTTTTACTGTTTTGTACTACTTGATTGTTAATTTTATATTACATGTTTCTCTCTAAATAAATTTAAGGGGCGGCAATTTGTCTTTTTGTCCGGGGCGACATAAATGCTTGAGCAAGCGCTGATGAGGGCAACGAATTCATGTTTAAACTTGATTGTTACTCAACAACAAAACACAAAGAACTGAGACTTCGCAGATACACTTAAATTTTTGTGACTTTTAGACAAATTGCAAAAATGTTTCTATTCTCATACTTCGTGGAATGCTAAGTTAGAAGACTTTATTTATTAATAAATTTTCGTATAATGGTAACGTAACAACAATATTTTCATAGGTCCTCAGAAATTAATCAGAATGATGAAAAGATTTTTAAATACTTTTCAATAATTCATTTTAATATTATACAGTTACAGTATAATCCAAGTTACGCACTTATCTCGTTCCAAAAATCCTCTCGTAAAATAAAATCTCGTAAATAAGGACGAGCTTTTCTATTATTTTCATGAGTTAGTTGATCTGGATATGTCAGATTATCATCGACTGTCTTGTCTAGTCAGTCACTTTATTTTTTATTTTCTCTTAAGTGATTTTCTAGGGCTGGTCTTGTGTCCAGTGACGGTGTAATAAGTCTAGCAATAAAGAAGGCAAACGTGGTGCTCACAAATACAGTAGAGCGTCGTTTATCCGAATCAATTGGGGACTGGGGTTGTTCGGATAACTTATTTTTCGGATAACCAATTATGTACGAAAAAATATTATATATTAATTTATCCCGTGTTGAAATTTTTCTCAGTTGCGTGTCGCTTTGCGTTGAATTTTCGTCGATGTTAAGCCTAACGAAGACTATTGTATCGTTAAAAATTATTTTTTTATTTTGTACAAACAAAATAAATATATTGAAAAATATAAAAACAATAAAAAATTATACTTCAAAAGTTAATTTAGTATCAAAAACGTAAAATATTTGAGTAGCTGAAGACATAGCCAAAGATTACAGCGCTATAGCACTGGCGAAAATTTAAATTTGTCGACTGGAATTCCTTCGGATAACCGACCTTCGAATAAACGACGCTCTACTATATGTACAAGAAGCCTATCATAGTGTGAAAACAAACTTCCAATTGATATATGTTATAAAATTTACTAATGAGTATTTAATAAGTACGAACAAAACCAAAGAAAAAAGTTGATAAGAGTTCTTCACCAATATGTAGAGATCAATACAGATGTACAGTACAGTCCGAGTGGCCAAACGGTTAAGGAAACCTTTACTTGGCCACCGACAGATGGACCACATTCGTCGAATGTGGTCGGATTTTGTTTGAAGTTTGACAATGGCGTTTGGAACGTTAGTGGAATCATGCTCGCCGTTCCAAACGCCATTGCCAAACTTCTAGGCTTACAGGAAGGCGGCACTGAATGCCCGACGTTTACATTTTTGCGTTGAAAAATTCGGCCTCAACCTCGCTAATAAACAAGGCCCAAGTAGACAATATATAAACAAAAAATTAAAACAGCAAGGACATCGAGGTAAAAAGAATTAATATTTAATTTTAAACGATCATTATGTATATTTAAGTTTTGCGCTGTAAAACTGAATAAAAACATTTAAAATCGAAATAAAATTAATATAATATTTAAAAAATTTTATTAGAACTTTTTAAAATAAAAATTGGTAATTATTTTTAAAAATAGTTTTATTGATAAAATGAAATAACCACGAGAAGGCGCAAGATATACGAAATGGAGGCAATGATAAAATTTTCAAAACGTGGATGATTGTTCTGAAATCAAATTTCACGAGACATGCGTTATTCTATCAGTTCTTTCAGAAATTCATTTAATCGTAACTCAGTAGTTAAGTTTTTAAGTTGTTCTAAATGGACTTCGATGTTTACATATTACTCAAGTTTATTTTCAAATTTGAAACAAAATGTAATTATGAATTCTGTAAGTTTGTATTTATTTATTAAAATGATATTTTATTTCACCATTCAAATCATGAGTTATAAATCATTTAATTTAAACTTACACATGAATTTTTAACATGGTTCCTTACTGCTGTATATATCAAACAATATGAATAAAAAGTAGTGAAACAGATAAATACGAAAAATATATATATATATTCTTATTTACATGAAAATATGAACTCAGATCATACTGTTGACAAAATTGTTGACATGTTTAAATTATTCTAAAATATATTAACTAAAAATCAATCAATTGAGGATTATAACAGATGTAAATATTCATTCATTCATTCACATGGCATCTTCTCTAGTAGATACTAGATAAGGAGAGAAGGCCTTACCCACAGGTATAGCCAAGGATAGGTGGGGAAATAAAGGTAAAGGAGAGGGAGGAGGATAGGGGGAAGGACAGGTGAGAAGGAAAGAGTGGGAGTGATCCCATGATGCCTGGCCAGGAACTGTTTACAACTGAAACGGGTAAACCTAGTGCTACACATAGAGTACCCAATAGACTGTACAATAAGAACAAACACAGACACAATAATACAATAACAATGAATATACACTGCGTGTACATAGATTAAATACAACAAGGCATCATCTCTACTGAGAGTTGCAGTCGATGGACAGTTCTCCACTCTTCATGGTTGTAAGCTTTTCTCAAGCTTGAGCCAGTCCATTTTTTGATGTTGTCCTTGGTCTTTCCTTTTTCCATCTACCCTCCATCATTCCTTGAACTGTGATTTTTATCAGTATCCCTGAGGATCCTCTTATTATATACCCAGCATATGCTGTTTTTCTTCTCTGGATGCTGACTATCAGATTTTTTTTTTTATTCCAAATCTACTCATAACCTTCTCATTGGTTATTCTATCTATCCATACTAATTCTTTCCATTCTTCTAAGACACCATATATCAATTAACTGTCTCTTGGTTTATTGTCCGTGACTTGCATCCGTATGTAGCCACACTTCAAATAATTGTTTTAAGTATTTTTAGTTTCAATTTTTTGCGTACATTTCTATCTCTTAATATTTGTGTGAAAGCAACTTTAGCCTTTTTTTTATTCTGTTTTTAATTTCATAATTACATCTGTTATCCTCAATTATCCAACTTCCTAGGTACTCAAACATTTTTACCTTTTCTATTTTCTTTCCATCCAATCCAATATAATCTTTAGATCTTTGTTTTCTTCTTTTGAGATTATCATAACTTTCGTTTCGTTCACGTTTATTTTCATTTGGTATCTTGCTTTTTCCACTTCTTTCAACCTCTTTAGAATTTTCTGCAACCCTTCTTTGGTGTTACAAAGCAGAGTGATGTCATCAGCATACCTAATGTTATTGATAAGATGCTTGTTAATTTTCATACTTTTGTCTAGATTTTTGAATGCTTAGATGTAAATATATTGCTTCATAATTATAACAATAATCACATCAATTCACTTTTCAGTGTAATTAACTGAAATAAATACAACAAAATTTGGCATGTACAGTACATTCCTATGCATTGATTATGAAAAATTAATTTTGTTATTAAATGTAGAAACTACTTTGTGATGTGATGTGTTTTATTGTAATTATTGAATTTAATTTTAAATGTGTTAATATAATAAAAGATGACATGTATTATGAAAAATAATTGTTTTATTATATCTTTTCAGAGATATGTTAAATTTTACAGTTTTCAGTCTAAATTTGCTAACCATGAAAAACTAATTGCTGATCAACCAAAATCAATTTTGCTGAGTATTTATAATATTGTGTGTAAACATTTTGGTTCAGAAAAATTTATGCCATCTTTTAAATGTGTTTTGTTGCAAAGTAAGTAAAATTTAATTTATGAATAATTTTGATGTAAAAATTTTAATATTTAGGAGAGATGAAATTCTTAAATGTTCATAAGAAAAATAAATTTATATTTATATATAATTTTTAATGTTTTTAAATTTTATTTTTTCAAACTGAAATTATTATTGTCTGTAATCATATTAAAAATTCTATTTTTAAGAAAATCCTCAAAAATGGAAAGCAGAAATTTCCTTATGTTGGCCATCACAAATTACAGAAGAAGGTATTGCGTTACGAAAGCGTTCTGCTGAGGCTATTGCTGCTAAGAAAGTTATTGAATGGCTTCACAGAGAAAATGTTTTAGATGAAAAAAATTATCCCATTCTTTATCAAACAGATGATAAGAAAAAACTTATTCAAAGTTGGAAGTTGCCACATTTCATAAACATTTCATCTGAGTTGGAAGAAAAAATAAAATGTCTATTAAAAGAATATGAAGTAAGTTTTAGTTAAATTTTTGAAAATATTTAAGTTTATAACAGTTAATTAACTAATTTATTTGTATGACAGTTTTTGTATAATCTTATCCTTCATTATTTTCTGTATCTTCAACCTTTTATTGTTTTTTCAAAATATTTTTCAACATCTTTCTGAGCCTTAGCTTTAAGATTGCATATTTTTGTTTTATTATTTTCTGTGATTTTTCTTGAAATCTTTATTCTTGTTGGCTGATTCCAATGCAGATCAGACTTACCTATAATAACATATAAGGCATTAGCAAACTAATTTTTTATTTTAATTTTTTGGCATAAAATTCAAATAAAAACTTAAAAAGTTTATAAAAATAATTTCACTGGCTTAGAACAATTTATAATTTCAAAAGTCTTTAGGAAACTTTATATTACTTTACATTATACTACAAAAAAATTGCTGACTTCATTTGACAAATGCATTGTAGTTTTTAAAAAAATCAGAAAACAATTAATAAAAGTGGCCATAAGAAACAAATCATATACAAAAATTACAAAAACCGTTTTTCTGAGTTGGCTAATATGTTATGATATGAATATACAACTGAATTTAATTTTTTATTAATTTTTGGCATGAAATTCAAATTTTAAAATGATTAAAAATATTATTTTACTATATTTATGTAGATCCAAGGAACAAGTTCCAACATTATTGGAAATATTTGTATTGCATAATAACATAAATTCATTGTATAAACAATTAACTGTATTCAAGTGGCATTATTTTATTGCATGCAGCAATTCCAGCTTCTGAAAAATCTAATTGTAAAAAGTACACAAATACAAGACTAGTATTAGTGCAAATGAGTCAAAAAAATCTACATTTGGGAATACTAGTTACACAGCAAGTATTGTTCTGAAGTAGCATTTCTCTGTGTATGCATAGCTCATCATTTTTGCAGTATTGTTTGATTTTACATGGTAATGTTTAAAAATTAATTAAAAATAAATGCAATAGTGTATTCATAACATAATGAGCTCTTGAAAATTGTTTTTGTAATTTTTGTATGTGATTTAACTTGTCATATTTTTATCCTGCAATTTGACACAAAGAAACAATGATATTTTGAAGAATTCAAAAATCACAATTTTGTACATAACTCCCAAAAAAATTTGATCCAACATTGCACAGTAATTAATCATTCATTAATACCTGTTTTTGGGCAAATTTTTATCTCATTATCTGACAGGGAATGATTTACCATGTTTATCCTACTATGGCCTTTAGAAAACTGACAGTTAATTCAATATTATAATTCTTTATTGAAACGATACTAATGTAATTATTTAAATTCTCAGTATACATTATTGCAAAATGATGTAATGTTTTCTGTAATAAATTTCATAATATCATCTTCTGTATTTCTAATTTAATCAGTTTTAATTAATGCATAATTTTTTATAGCTATTTAACTGTCTGAAAAACAAATATATATTAATGAATTCAGATTTAGATTTATGTTGTTAGATTTTATGTCTTAAGATATCAACAATAGTATATTTAATATCATTTAATAATAACTTATTATTGTTTAATTTTAAGCTTAAATATAATATAAACTTAAACTTTTATTTAAAATTAAAATGCATATGTAATAACTAACTTTTTTTATTATAGGAAATCAAAAATACAATTGAGAATTGTGAAGATAAATTGCCATTACAGTCTCTTATTATAGAAGATTCTATAAAAAGAGATTCTATAGAAGATTCTATAAATTTTAATATAAACAACAATGTACCTTTTTTATTAGAATCTTCTCATAATTTAATAGATGTTATAACTGGAGAAAAACTGAAAGATTATGAACCTGAACAACTTTTATCAAGAAGTTTTGAGATGTATCATCAAATGAAAGAAAATGAAAATAACATTGAATATCAAAGGTTGAAAAATCGGAGAGATGCTCTTCCTATTTTAGCAAAAAAGTGAGAATGTATAATTTAACATATTTCTTCTATATTTATTTTAATTAAGAAAAAACCTAAAAATTAAAATTTATTTAAAAAATAAAATATATTCTAAAACATTCATTGAAAAAATTTGAAGAAAATAGAGTGTAACAAAATTGAATTGATGTGGTAACATTTAAAAACTAATTAAAAATAAATTAAGTAGTACATTCAAATCTAGCTAGTAAACAATCTTTTATTTAAACTATGATAGATTGCTATGTAATAAATAATTAAAGTTAAAAATTATTGTTTATTAAACAATGTTTACAATATATTATAGTCAAAGTTGTATTAGTTCAATTATACTAGTTTTGAGAAAATTTGTTTAGTAACACATTTTGATTATGAAAAGATTGCTTGTTGTATAATTGATTGTAAATCACAGTTCATTGTATTTTGATGTCAAATGTTCCTGGCCTGATCACTAACCAGTTCACAAACCTCACATTTCCAATGCATCTTGGTCAAAGTTATCCTGTCTTGTAGGTTTGGATGAAGAGTGATTACACTCAACAGTTTATTTAGAAAAAAGTTCATTTATTATTACACACATTTACACATTTTTTTTACTATATTGGTTGTTTTGGAATCATGTTTCAAATCTTTATTTTTAAAACACAGTTATATGCATCTAAATTGAGTTTTTAATTTGATTAATACTTCTTGATTAATACTAAAAAAATATTGAAAGAAAACAAGGATTTGAAAGTTATTTTAATGAGTGTTACAATAAATGCTGAATTATTTTCTGAATACTTTTGCATTTAAGATTGGACAATGATTAAACTTAAAATTAAACTGTACTATTATTAATACATTGCAATCTAAAACGTTATGACAAAACTATACAGTTACAACTTGCCTTTCTGGTATAGTTCACATTATAATGTGAACAATATCAAAGAGATTTATGTAACTCCATCATATGGAGTGATGAGTGTGTTGGGTTATTATTGGATTTTTAAATAATTGTAAAATAAAATAAAACTGTGACCATTGCTTCCTTGTTTATGATTGGGATGCATTATGCTTTAAGGTATTATTGAATACATCAGTTTATAGAGTCAATGAGGAGCAGTAAGTGCTCAAAACTTGTCTTGACTGATATAAAAGATAATTGAATGAAGGATGTTGATTGGTCAAGTATTTTTATACTTGACCAATCAACATCCTTCATCTACTCTACATTGTATTTTAAAAATAAATTTTGTTACCATTTTACCATTTTTTGAAGTGAGAGAGGAAGTTACAGCCTAATATTAGATTCCTTCAATTTATCTTTTGTAATCATGAGTCAGATGGTGGTGTTAAAGTCTGCATCTTTGGTGATCCAGCATCTTCAGGTTTGTTCTTTTGAATAGTCATATTCCCACTAGGTTTCTTTAGGCACTTTTAAAGCACATAAGGCACTGTTCCTCAAACAAACTGTTTACCAGATTTTTTACTGTTGGCAAATTCAACTAGAAGTCAATTTTAATCAATACTAAATGATTTATTGTATTAGATGATAAACAGCCAATTTTGTCATGGGAATACATTGCTTTGTGTATGTATATTGTAGTTATTGATTATATATTTATAATCTCAGATGATAAACAGCCAATTTTGTCATGGGAATACATTGCTTTGTGTATGTATATTGTAGTTATTGATTATATATTTATAATCTCTATCTGTAAAGTTATACTTTTTCACTGTAGCAATAGAGGCCATTGCTGGAATATCACACAAGTAATTGATTATGTTTTCATTGCTTATACTATATTGCTTTAAGGAGATATATGATCATGTAATAATTTATTTTGCAATCAAGTGTCTATACAGTTCAAAAATATTATTTCAGTTACAAGTTTACAAATTCAGTCTGAAATACTTGTATATTTTTTTATTTTGTTATTTGTATAAATTATAAGAAAATTAAAATAACATTCATGTATTAATATTCAACAAATTATAAAAATTTTAAATATTTTTTTTATTGAAATTCATATATAACTTTTGTATGTTTTAAAGTTTTTGAAATACAGTGGAACCTCGGTATAAGACCTTAATCCGTTCCTGGTGTTTGGACTTATACCAAATAGGACGTATACCAAACAAACGTTTTCCATAAGAAGTAATGTAAAAATGATTAATCCGTTCTCATGTAAAAAAAATGGCTGGCTTTAAACACCTCGCTTTCCTGGCTAGTTTCTGCTTGATTTTTTATGAGATCAGCATGTATCCTTTCAACTTTCTCGCAAATAATTTCTTCCGATACGCTGTTGCCGGCACACTGTTTTTCAGTTATCCAAAGCAGAAGCAATTTCTCAACATGATCTAATGTCTTCGATCTCTGTTTAGAAATTGATTTAACCCCTTTTGCAACGTTAGCAAATTTAATAATGTCTTTATTTTTCATGATTATCGATATCGTTCTCGGAATACGGAATGCAACAGTTAAATCTCGAACATGCGTGCTACCTTCATATTTCTCAACAGTCTCTTTTTTCAGTTCCATTGTGATTCTAGTCACTTTTTTATTTTTCTGTTGCCCTTTTGCAATTCATGATTAATAAAAATAATAAAATGTTACTTACAAATTAAAATCAAAAGAAATTTAACAAAGTTATAAACCGTATCACCGCGAACGTCTAGTCTGGTGTATTACACCGATAATGCTACTTGTTCATAGATGGCGCGTATAATTGAATTAAGTCGTATACCAAACAGAAGTCGTATACCGAGCAAAATCTGTTTCGTCCAAACAGGACGTATTCCGAATTGGACGTATTCTAAAGCAGACGTATACCGAGGTTCCACTGTAGTTTATCAATTCTGTATTTATTATTACCATATAATAATAAGAATAAGAATAATATGAATAAGTATTTGACAATGTTCCACACTGTTGCTACATATTCTACACACATACAAAATACATTCATCACTCATTGCATTCTTCCAAAACACTATGCAGCACTGGAGAACAATACTACATCTCAGGATTCATAACACTTCCATACAAACAAACCAAATATTCATTAGGCAAGGAATATTCCAAAGAGATTCTTCAAGTCCTCTGGTTCTGCTTAGCCCTGAACCCATTATCTAACATGTTAAACAACATGGTTACAATATCAGACATGAAAAAACAACACAGTTTACATTGTCACATCTCATGTACTGTACATGGACAACATAACACTTTATGCATCTGCACAAAAACAACTTCATCAACTTCTACAAATCACACATTCATACACCAAGGACATACAAATGGAGTTTGGCCTAGACCAGTGTTTTTCAACCTGTGGGTCGCAACCCCCATGGGGGTTGCAAAGCCTTACACGGGGGTCGCGGGTAAAAGAAAAAGACAAGTGTTTGTAGGTCATACACTACAATAAAAAGTTACAATCTCAGTGAGAAGGCTGTGCCTGTTTATTTTACAGTACAATTGGTTTTTTGATCAATATGTAGGTCTCAACAGAAAGAAACTTAAATACGTAGTTTTTAAAATCACAGACATGGTTTTAATATGGCCCTGGGGGGGTCGCCAGAATTTTTTGACTTGTAAAGGGTTTGCTTATTCAAGGTTGAAAAACACTGGCCTAGACAAATGCAAAACACTTCACATAAAAAAAAGGAATTTTGAAGAAAGAAGATTTTGCACTTGGAAATGGAGACATTATTGAATCCATGGAAGAGGGCAAGTTCTACAAGTATTTAGGATTTTAACAGACCAAACTAACAGAACATACACAAATAAAGCAAGGATTAATTAAAGAATACCAAAGTAGGTTAATTGCTATTCTCAGAACACAGTTAAAGCAATAAACACATATGTCATCCCAGTACTCACTTATTCTTTTGGAGTTATACATTGGACTCACACAGATCTTGAGCAACTCCAAATGAAAACAAGAACACTTACTAAGCATAAACAACATTGGACTCACACAGATCTTGAGCAACTCCAAATGAAAACAAGGACAACACTTACTAAGCATAAACAACATCATCCTAAATCCGCCACAGAATGATTAACCCTTCCACGTAAAGATGGCAGATGTGGCCTGATTGACATAGTTAACCTTCACTACAAACAAATACAGTCACTGCGAGAGTTTTTCTACATGAAACAAGAAACATCACTATTACATAAAGCAGTAATTCTAGCAGACTCAAATAACACACCATTAAACTTACACTCACATCATACAGACTTGACACAACATATAAAAAGCATAGACACCATTAAGCAATCATGGGCTTGAAAGGCACTGCATGGCAGGCATCCTTTTGACCTGGCCCAGGGTTTTGTTGACAAAACTGCATCAAACAGCTGGTTAGCTCGGGGATACCTCTTACTGATATTCTTGAAATATGAGTTTTGTTTTTATTTTGACTGTTAATATCCTGAAGACAGGTTGTAGGAGTCCAAAAGCATTAAGATAATAAAGATGTATAGCTCCAGAAAAGTAGTTTTGTATGAGTAATTTGACACAGTTGTTGCTTTATATGTTTAAACATGAGATTTAGTTGTGGAACTAGAAAGATAAAAGAAAATATTTAAATAGACTTTACTAATTCTTTTTGGGAAAAAAGATCATTTGAGATGTCATTTGAAAGTATATAAACTGTTGTTTTGAAAATCAGTGCAATACTACATTTATCATTTAGTTGAAAGTTTTTCATTCAGATAGATGATAAACAAATATATTTAATTTGAGAAACTGATCATAGATTTTAACTTTAGTTTGTAGTGAAGATCACATAACAAATAGATACCAGTTAACAATTCTGAAGAATAAAATGTATGAATTTTATTAGGATAGAACAAAATTTAAGACAATTATTTATTTTTTTGCAAAAAGTAATTAGGTATATCAAAGTTTCATTAAGAATGGTAAAACAGTGTATTAAATTACTATAACTGAATCATATTTAAATAACTTGAAAGTTAAATATATTGCAAAATCAAATATATAAGGCAAAGCATTTAAACAATAATCTGGAGCAGTGTTTCTCAAACTATGGTTTGCGACCTGATATTGGGCCATATTAAAATTTTAATGGGTTGTGAATTGATACTACCTTCAGCAGAAATATTTATAATACTTGTATTATTAAATACAATATTCTCTAAGAACTAAGAACAATAGATGCATCTGTTAAGTACTGAAAATTTTTTTTAACAACTTTTTTATTATAATTATTATTGTTGTTTAGTAATAAAATTCAGATTATAGAATGATTTCTCTTTTCTAGTTTGAATAACACCAAAATAGATATTTTATGTAAAGTTGTAGGCATAAAGACATTCAAGTTGCAATGATTTTCAAAATATTTCCTTGTTTATTCAAACTTTTAGGTTTATTATCATACATAAAAATAAATTATAAAAAATAAATAACATGAATTTTGACAAAAGTGGATCAATAAATAATTTTTAAAGAATTTTTTTTTATGTATTTGAAATTACAAAATCTGAAAAGTACATTTTAAAAAACTGTTCATTAAGTTTATAAAAAAAGTTATAATATTTTTCAAAGTAAAATAGACTATTAATTTTGAAACATTCTGTTTTATTTGCAATCATTAATCTTAAGTTTTTAATAGTTAAATTTAAATAATAATAACTGAAATTGAACTAAGTTATTTGTTACAAATCAAAATTGGCCTGAATCACTCTTAATAGAAATGTACTTAGTGTTACATTTCACATGTAAATGTTATTATCAATAATGCATAATTTTATTTTGTTATATAATATACAGCAACTCCAGTTTACAAGGTTTTTTAAAATTTTATATTATAAACATTTGGGTTGCAGAATCATTACAAACAAATATACAGTCGATCCCCCTATAAGATCATTGATTTTTCCGTTTTATCTGAATTACATGTTGTACGAGTCACTTAGATTTTACAAATATGTGAGCCGTTCACAGCCCGGCACACGTATTTGTAAAATCTAAGTGACTCGTACAACATGTAATTCAGATAAAACGGAAAAATCAATGATCTTATAGGGGGATCGACTGTATTGGGTCATGCATGTGAAAAGTTTGAGAAATGATGATCTAGAGACTAAAGTTAAGAAAGTAACTGATAATTAATTAATTAATTATTTTTACAATATTTAAAGATAAACATATATCACTTTAGCAATCATTTGTAAATAAAGCAAAATTTAATACAATACAGTTAAAAAAATTATAAAAATCCTAATTTCTATTTAGGAAAAAAGATACCTTATAGCATTGTGTCTTTAAATGTTTGTTGTAATTCAAATGTAGTTACAAATAAAATGTATTTATGTCTAGGGAAGAAATTCTTTCTTTAATACAAGATAATCAAGTAATTGTGTTATCAGGAGAAACTGGATGTGGAAAGACAACACAAGTTCCACAATATATATTGGAGCAATACATAATGTCATACAGAGGAGCTGATTGTAACATAGTAATGACACAACCACGAAGAATAGCTGCTACTTCTATTGCAGCTCATATAGCTAAGGAAAGATATGAGAAAGTAAGTATATTAATTCTTATCTAATATTTGATATTAATTATTAAATAAAATATTTTTTAGTTAGGTGATACAATTGGTTTTCATGTGAGACTAAATAAGCAACTCCCTTCCAAATGTGGAGCTGTTTTAGTTTGTACAACTGGAATTCTTCTTCAACGTTTACAGTTAAATCCATTGTTAAAAGGAATTAGTCATGTCATAGTAGATGAAGTTCACGAAAGAAGTGTCCAAATTGATTTTTTATTAATACTTTTAAAAAAAATATTGAAAGAAAACAAAGATTTGAAAGTTATTTTAATGAGTGCTACAATAAATGCTGAATTATTTTCTGAATACTTTAATCATTGTCCAATCTTAAATGTACCTGGATTTACTTTTCCTGTAAAGGAATATTTTCTCAAAGATGCTTTAAAATTAATTGGAAAAAATAATTTTAAGATTGAAGAAGGTCCAGAAGTCAATGTTAATGTTGATTTAATTGTTGAATTAATAAAAAGAATTGATGAAACAAAACCACCTGGTGCCATTTTATGTTTTCTTCCAGGTTGGCAAGAAATAAAATTAGTTAATAATAAATTGCAAAATGTACTTTCTGATAAGTTACAATATCATATTCATACTCTTCATTCTCTTATTCCTCATAATCAGCAGTCTGAAGTTTTTAATTCTGTCCCATCAAATGTAAGAAAAATTATCCTTGCGACTAATATAGCAGAGACTTCTTTAACAATCAACGATGTTGTTTATGTAATTGATACTGGATGTCATCGAGAATTAAATTATAATCCTAATAATGGTTTATCAATTCTTTCTACACAATGGATCTCAAAAGCAAATGTTCGACAAAGAAAAGGAAGAGCAGGTAGAGTTCAGTGTGGTGAATGTTATCATTTATTTACAGAAGACATCATGAATGATATGCCAGATTTTCCAAAACCAGAAATGATGAGAATATCACTTGAAAATTTAATTATTGACAGTAAGGTATTTATTTTTCTTTAGATATTATTATCATAAACTCTATTCTCATTTCAGTAAGTTGTTATTTACGTTTTCAGATATATAATCCAAATATTTCAGCATTAGAATTTTTATCAGAAGCTGTTCAAGCTCCAAATATTGAAAGTATTAAATGTTCAATAAATGATTTACAACAAATGAATATTTTGAATGAGAATGAAAATTTGACCATTCTTGGAAAATATGCATCTCATTTTGCATTACATCCTCGTCTTTCTAAAGCTATAATTTATTCTGCTCTGTTTAGGTAAACATTTTTAGTAAATAATATTATTTCTTGTTATTTTATTTACAGACAATTTTTTAAGTTTTTAAATTAATGATATCTTATTAAATTAAATTTTTTTTGAGTATTTTAATATATACAATGGTGGCCAAATTATTGTAACATCATGAAACATTAAGCAAAACAAAGAAAAAACAGTAAAGCTGTCTTTTCCTTAAACTTGCAATTATTAACTGAATTAACATTTATTAATTACATAAAGTAGATATGGAAAAATAAAATTTAAATTATTCATTTGGTTGCCATAGTGTTTAAAAGTGTTAGGAAAATGAGTTCTGGATGAGATGTAATGCCAAGTAAGCGAGCAAAAGTTGAAGTTGTTTTACAGAATGATGACACAACACATCAAAAAATATCAAAATAGGTGTGAGTAGGTCCTTTGTCACAAGATATGCTAAAAGACTTTTTGGTGAAAAATCCTCTTCTAAAAGGCGTGGAAGATGTGAACAAAAGTAAGTCAGTTAGCAAAATCGGGCTGACACATTCTTAATATCATTAAAAAAGATCAAAGATGGAATTTTAGACAACTTATGATGGACTCCAAGCAATTGGAGTAAATATTGTTAGACATTGTCTGTTTGATGGATAATTTTCTCACAATGTTTCAATAATTTGTCCACCATTGCACAACATTTCTAAATAATCCATCAATATATTAGTCAAGCTAGGGTATGGCACCATCAAAATATTACTTTTATAAAGCTTTAATGAATATTTGAGATATAGTTTTAAGCCATCTTTTTAAAAAATTAGTTAAGCACATGATCTTATATATTTTTCTTGTCTTTTCAACGATGATTGTTATTTCAGAAGTAGCCACAAAACAAAAAGAAGGGATTAGAAAGAGAGGATGAAAATTGGTGGTTAGTTTTAAAATCAGTTACTTTTAGTTTTTATGTTTCTGATCTTGAGAAAGTGGAGTTGGTTGTTTTTGATTTTATATGTGTCACTTGTAAACAGATTTTTCTGCTAAATATTAATAAAGAACCTTTCAGTATTCATGAATTAATAAATGCATTTTACTTTGCAAACATTGTTATCACCAATTAATTTTCAAATTTTCAAACACAAACTTGTATATAGACCTCATTACTATATATAATTCTTATTTTTTTGAGATACTTTAGTTTAATAGCATATGTAATTTAGTGCCAATTTCAGAGGCAAACAGTGATATTATTGACTGTTTATTACAACAGAAAGTTTTGTAACTTTTTATATTAAAGTAGTTTTAAGATATTAGTTTCATAGTTATAAAATGGTACCAAATCAAAAATTGAATTAAAGCTAACTACATAAAAAGATCAACATGTTTTTGCTAATAAAAAATAAGACACAAGAAAGAGTGGACATTTTATAAATATACTTTGTTGAAAAATTAATTTTAAAATAAATCACTATTTACAGTTGCTTCTGCCCATCCATAACCCACAGCTTTTCACATGAGTAACAATAGTGAATAGTAGGGATATCAAATCTTTGGCTTTTTATATTTTCAAAGTTTTTAAACATGTACATGATTTTCAAAACTTTGAAGTTTTAAAAGTTTTAATGCCAACATTTTTGCCATAGTAATTTAGTGTTACTAGAAATGATTGAATTCAATGTATTATGAATTGATTAAATGACTATATTGAGAATTCTTAAAATTAAATTCATGAATACAGACCAGAAATTTTAGAAACAAGCTTTATTCAAATTCAATTTAGAATTTTAAAATCAGTTGATTATTAAACACACTTGGAATTTTCTTTGAAATAAAAAGTTAAGTATACAAAAGTGTTAAATGTTACCATAAATCAAGAAAACCCTTTCACTATTGGTTGTGGTAGGTTTGATGATTTTGAGCATTAACTAAAGTTTGTCTACATTTTCATTACATTTTCATGCCAACATTAACATTTTAATTTCTTCTACTTTGAAATTTACTTTTACTATTGTTTGAATATTAATTAGTTAAAATCTTTGAAGCTTTGGGAAAAAATTAGTCAAAGTTACAAGGCCTAAAAATGCTAAAAAATTTTTGAAGGTTCAAAGCTTTGAAGGCTTTCCTAGTGAATAATGATCTGTTTATGTGACAAACATAATCTAATTTCTGCAACTAGCTGATTGATTTTAGATAATTTTTATTATAAATAACTTTAAAAATATTGATATATTAAATTTTTCCATTTTTAATGAGTAATTTTTTTAATAAATACTTGCTACATTCAAAAATATTTTTGCTAATTTAATTTGTTATTTTTGATATTTTCACTGAATAGTACTGAAATGGTTTTTTAACAAATAAATTTGTTAGAATTTTAAATTATCATTGTAAATAATAATAATTTTATAATAAGATTTTACTTTTTATTTATTTAATTGAGGTTACAAAATGAAATTTATTATTTAAGATTTTAGATTAATTTACTGAAAGTTACATTGTTTTAATCATGTTCTTTAGTTTTAGTTTAGCTATTATATAAGTGTAGTTTTAATTTTGGTTTAATAAACTAAAATTACACTAATTGAAAAGCATACAATGTATAAAAAAATTTTCTGTTTCTTCTTTGTTAAATGTACTTATTGATATACAGTAGATAGATAAATGAAGATATTTTGAACATTGAGCCTAAATTGTGATCTTTCAATATATAATATTATTGAATATTTCATGAAATTAATTACAAAACTAAAATCACCTGAATTATTGATTTTTCTCCATAATTTCTGCAGTAATAGATATTGCTATTATTGGAATATAGCTATGTAATTTTATTAATATATATTGTTGGTTCGAATGGATTACTCAAATGAATTTTGTATTGCAAGAGTAATTCAGAATGTTTGAATTTGAAACCATTTTAATATAAGTAACAGATTATTTAGAGACCTGGAGAAAGACCTGGCAATCTGCTCCAGTATTTTGCCAAAATACCCTACAGTTTCAAATGTGGTACCAACTTGTGAAACCCATGGGCCAGAAGGTATCAATCGAGCAACTGGGAAAGAGCAATGAGTTGTTATTAGTAGCAGGAGAATTGATGATGCGATCAGGCTAAATCCTAAAGGACACTTGATTGCTGATGTAGCTCATAGTGAAAAGAAAACTTTACACTGTACTAAAGTATTTAAAATTGGAACTTGGAACGTGAATGGTTTACACATAGGAAAGTTGAACATCATCAAAAATGAAATGAATCTGTTGAAGATAGATCTTCTAGGCGTCAGTGAAGTTCACTGGACTGGAAGCGGATTCTTTAATTCCAATTATTACATCATCTATTACTCTGAAAAAGATACCATTCGGCGAAGAGGAGTAGGTTTCATTCTGCACAAGAAGATCAGTTGCACCATAGAAAGCATTCGAATAATTGACAATTGAATGACAATTGACAATGAACAATTGACAACAGAATCATAGCAATCCGTATCAAAGGGAAACCTTGCAATTTTACGATCCTTCAGGTTTATGAGCCTACTGCTGATTCAGAAGAAGAAGTAACTAAGGCTTTCTACAATGAACTCCAAGAAATGCTGCATCAGATATCAAGAAAAAGATTATGTCTATGCCATTGGAGATTTCAATGCAAAAGTAGATGAAATGGAAGAATCATGCATTGTAGGAAAATTTGGTCTTGGAGAACAAAACAAGTCAGGTGAATGACTGATTCAGTTCTGCCAAGAACAGCAAATGACCGTGATGAATACATGTTTTGAACAGCCAAGGCGGCGATTGTATACGTGGACTTCTCCCAATGGAAAATATCGTAACCAGATTGACTACTTCCTCTGTCAGCAAAAGTGGAAGAGTTCCGTTTTGTCTGTGAAAATGTATTCTGGTGCCGATTGCAGAACTGATCATGAACTGCTTGTTGCCAAAGTGAAACTAAGGTTTTGTAATGTTAAGTGACCATCAGTGATTCCAAAATTTGATGTTGAAATGATCCCCGATGCTTACGATATAGAAATAAAGAATTATATTTGATTTTCTCAATTTCGCAGAAAGAGAACCAGAAGAACTATGGAAAGATATAAAAGTACATACCAATGATGCAGTGCATCAACTCATTCATACAAGAAGAAGGCAAAATTGGTGAAATGGATGTCAGAAACTATGATAGTAGTAGCAGAACAATGAAGAAAGGCAAAAATCATTGGTAATTGAGAGGAAATGCAAAGTTCCAAAAAGAAGCCAGGAAAGATAAAGGAAAATTCTGGGAAGAACAGTGCAAGAAAATGGAAGCAGCAGCTCAGAAAGGCCTCATTAGACAATGCTTCGCTTACGTGAAGAAAGCCTGAACACCATTTATCACACGTAAGGCAGCTGTCAATGGCAAGATGGTCATGAATTACATGATCAACACACTAATCAAAGAAAGATGGAAGGAATACACAGAACAACTTTATGCCAGGTGAAACGGAAGTTGAAACCCAAGGTATTGAAGAGGAAGAACTGACAGAGCTGGAGCCAGACATCTTAGAAGAAGAGGGGGACACTCAAACAGCTGGCTAGCCACAAGGACAGGAGTCGATGGAAGAGTTTCAGCAAAGTTACTGAAATTCTTACCATTAAAAGTTTTGACAGCAGTGCCGTAGTGTGTGGAAGAATGGCCAATGGCCAAAGGATTGGAAAAGATCTAATTTTTATCCCACATACCAAAGAAGGATGATACCAAAGATTGCTCCAACTATCACATCATCACTCTGATTTCACATGCTAGTAAGATTCTACTGAACATCATTCAACAGCAGCATATGTACTCAACCATAGACAGATAGATGCCAGATGTACAGGTAGGTTTCCAAAAAAGAAGAGGTACATGTGATCATATTGCTAATCTTCATTGGATGATGGAAACAGTGAGGGAATACCAAAAAGATCTATACATGTGCTTCATTAATTACTCAAAGGCTTTCAATTGTTTTGATCATGACAAATTGTGGAAGTGCCTCAAGGAAATGGGAATCTCACCATT